TTCTCTGTGTACCGAAGTTTGCTGACAAAGCTGGCAAAGGTTCGTGCATTGACACTCTGTTGGCTGGTGGCACTGGACGTAGGGTCCTTGCTCTGTGCTCCAGGTTACTGGGGAGGCAGGTGTGGTGAGTCTAATGGTGGCTGGAAGTTTGAGTGAGGCTTTGTGTTTTCATCATGCACCAAGTGCTTTCCGTGCCCTGACATGTAACACCCGTGTTCCTTTCAGTCTTTAGTCTTCTGTACAGATGTGTTGCCTTAGTAGCAAATTGTAGTTTGCGCTCTTTGCAGGTTCAGGTGTCTTCACAACAGCACATGCCCTTGATTTGGTTGAGGTTCTCTGGATTGCAATATTGACTTTACCGTATGTAACTCTGCTTCTTATCATTTGTAATCTTGTAGCCTTCATGTGTCTCGATACATAATGGAGGTCAGTAGCAAATGTCTTTGCAGTTGTCCATACTTTGTTCCTTGTGTTTCCAGTAGAGAAATGGGCCAGACAACAACTGGTGCCTGGATGATATCTGTCTCCCTGTTATGAAGATGAAGGATTGTGTTGAAAGTTGTGACTGCTCAAAAACACTTGTGGGTGGCTGCATGTGGAGGAGGAAATGCAGGAGGAAATGTCAGGGGTGTTTTGCTGATTTCTTGTCTTTTGAGGTTGAGTCTTGTGCAATGAGGCTGGATGTGCCTTGGCTATAAGAGACATGTCATGGCAAGAGCCTTGTGTGAGTGTGAGGGGAGAGACTGAAGGTGCAGAGGGAGATGTAAGGAGAGGGTGATTGCCCCTATGCAGACCTTCACTGACCCCCTGTGAATGTCTGCATACATTCCCTGGAGCACTGCTCCTCTTTTCCTTTTAGAACTTTGAGGTTTCCTCACGGAAGATCAGGGAGCAGACAAATGTATCTTCATGCAGAAGTGTAAAGATATCTCTGTGAATTTAAGTGAATCAGTGATTTTAAGAGAAATGATCTGATAAACTGGGCCTTATGTGCCACGTGCTTGTAAATTAGATGCGTCAAAGGGCATCCTGGGTATTGTGCTGGGTTGGAGATTCCAGTCCTGGGAGTTGTGCAGGAGGGTCTGTTGAAGGACACAAGGGAAGGCTTTTTGTGTTTTTTGGTTCATGGCACAGCTGTAGTACCTTGCAATGTGAGGTTTTCCTTCCCCAGCTGTTTGGCTGGAAGATATGTTATTCTGGCCTTGGGAGGTTCTTTGTTTGTATTTGCATGTTGTCCTAATTGTGTAACTGCACAGCTTAATTATATAGTTATGACAAAGGTCATGTGGGAGCTCTGGGGAAAGCAAGTTGTGTGTTCACTGCTTACTAAACACCTAAATTATTGTTTAGTCTTAGTCATATAACTGGGAATAGTGTGTAATGATCTCTTCCTTTCTGCAGGTGTTTATTTCTTGCCTTTCTCTTTGATGGCTTGAAGATGGTTCTTTCTCTCTGATAGTGTGTGGAAGATCAGATCTGTCCTATTTGCCTGCCTGTTCTGTAGGTGCCTTTCCTGTTTACAGCTGGAAAGAGACTTTCAGAGACATGTTTCTTTTATCTGTCACTGTAAGAAATGCTCTTGTTTGTGACATGCCAAGGGTGAGAAGTCAAATATTATCCATAGTAAGGAGACGTTGTATGAGCAATGTTTCTTTTCTGGGGTGTCTGTGTGTGTGTCTTTCTGTCAATCTTGAAGATCTCTGATAACCATGTGAGCTGTGAAGAGTTTGAAGAGAGTGTTGTGTGTGTGCTGTGTGAGGAGGTGCTGGTGGAGACATGGCCTATGTTTTGTTGACTCCCAGAGTTGAAACTTTGCCTTCTGAAAAAAAGTCAGAAGGAATCTTCTTTTTGATATTGCATGGTTTGGACTCAAATGGCCAAGTTTTGGGTTCAGCACATCTTACATTATGGTGATAGAGCTTTGAAAGAGCCCATGTGTGATGTTCCCTTTGAGCTGCTACTGCAATGGTTGGGTTTTTAACTGAACTGCTGACTGCTTTTGCTCTGTATAAC